AAAATGGTGTTAGGAATGCATAGAATCACACTACCAAAAATAATTGCTGGACACTGAAATGTTTCAGGAGTAAGCATACAATCAAGAACAAATTATAATGAAAGAAGTTCAAGATACACTCACAGCATAGATAAACATAAATTCCCAGGAATTTATGGAATACCAATTGACATGTTTCAATCAGCAGTTTCAGTCTTCATTAGATTTCATAAATAGCATATGGCAGTTTGCTGAGAAATCAATAATGAAATTGAACTATATGAAGAACAACATGGCATGAGGATTGGAAGACTCCTCACCAACAACCTGTGTTATGTAAATGGCATAACCTTGCTTGAAAATCAGGTTGAAAAGAACTTCAACCTGGTAGATTGACATAGTAATTGTAATAATGGGTTTTAGCTTAGCAGAGATTGTGAGGATGGTTCAGGATAGGGCAAGGTTCAGATCTATTGTTCAGCAGGTTGCTATGAGTTATAGTTGACTCAAAGGGACTTCTTGACAACAACAGCAGCTCTGGAGTAATTTCTGGTGGTCTAGAATGTAGGGAATAATGCTGATATTCTAAAGAGTGTGCCTTTCTAAATATTTGAATTACCCATAGGCTCCTTGAGAGAAAATGGACTCATCTCCTTCTGTGTGATCCACAGCTTCAAAAAGAAACCTGATGGAGGGGCAACTAAAAGTCAGTTCTGACCTGACAACAATAAGTTGGGTATTTTTAGTATGTTTGTTTTTTAGTCTATGAGGTTTTTTAGTAGCTCTGTTGGAAAGAAATCTTGCTCCTCTAAAGGTTCACAGCACAGAAAACCCAATGGGCAATTCTACTTGGTCGCATGAGATTATTATGAATTGAAAAATTAATTTGATAGCACCTATTGGCAACAAGTATGTGTCAGATGATGTTGTGGCTCCAGAGACGCAGAGACAGACTTTGTCCTCAATGAGCTCAACTCTAATGCAACTTTCACTGACCTTTGTCTAAGGGCCTCTGGCCTGTGTTCTTCCCATTCCTTCTAGCAGCCTGTGAATTTAACCATTAACACACTGGGCTGCCAGAGCTGATGTCGTCTTTTGCTCTCCCTGTGCTGTAATTTCTTAATAGATGGGACTGGGCTTAATAGATGGGGCTGGGCTGTATTCTTTTTACTGTTATTGATGCCCAGACAACGCTTTCAGTACTTGTGCAGTATCCCGGGAGCCAATTCCAACTCATGAGGATCCACCGGTGTAAGAGTAAAATTGTGCTCCATGGAGTTGTCAAGGGCTAATTTTTCAGAAGAGGATTTTTCAAGCCTACCTTCCAAGGCCTCTGAGTGAACTTAAATTTTAACCTTTGGGTTAACAAGTAAGTGTGTTAACAGTTGCACCACCAGTGCTTCGCACTTAGATTCCCAATATGATTCTCTTCCTGGGCTCAAGTATTGGTTATCACACGATTCTATGTTTCAGCTTCAGCTTCATTTTATCAAGGGACTATAACCTTCCAGAAGAGATTAGAAATCCTTGTCAGATGCTCCTAGAACATGCCTTTCTATTTTTTTCCATCATCACACACATTTAAAATTTATTTTTAAAACAGTTCAAATTATTTACTTAACTTTCTCCACTAAACTGTTGAATCCCTGTGTTTCTTGGTAGTTAATGAAGTGTGTGGCCTCTAATAAATGTTCAATAAATATTTGTTGAGTGACAGGCTGGCAAATATGATAAATATCGTCTATGCACTGCACTGCTAGGACCTACAGGAAATTTAGTCAAAATTTCCTGATAGCCTCTTCTATTCATATGTAAAATGGAGATTTGGGGGGGGTGTGTGAGAAAATTGGATTAAACATCCTCAAACGCATTACCTTCAAGTTGGTTTCCGAAGGTTGTAAAAGAGCACAAGAAGAGGTTATCTATCTTCTCCCCTGAAGATGGAAGATGGATCTGAACTTCTAAAGAGGCCCATCTCTTGGTTTAGCAGAGAAACTCTCTATGGACCAGGCCACCAGAGCTTCCTAAATAATATGCAAATTTTAGGTAATAGCCTATTAAGATGAATGTGTGGTTTGTAATGTTTCATCTTTCACCAAATATTTTGCAAATATATCCTTTTAAGCTTTTTTTTCCTTCTTCTTTAAACCAGTGATGCTTGGAACCAAAGAAAAAAATCTTTTTTGTGGCATTGGTCAATAAAAGACTAGATGTTTCGTCTTTTGAGTTCTACATAGTATATGAGATTAGGATATTTATTTTGCTAGAAATAAATGATATTTAACAGAAATAGCATTCTCATGAAAATCCATATTATTGAGACTGATCATATGCAGGAAATACAAAGTTAATGCATTTTCAAGTATATTTGAAGTCGTGGTTATACACGTTCCTAACAGAAAATAATGAATTCAGAGAAAGCATATGTCAAAACAAACAAACAAAAGGAGAGATGTATATGATCACATTATATAAGAAAAAAAGGATAGCATTAAAAAGTTAAACACAGCAATTGGAATCCAAGATGGGATTGAAATACTTATTTCCAGAGATGGTATTTCATTCTTCCATAGGTAGTATTGCCATTTTATTCTTCCTTTCCTTTTCAGTGTCTGAGACAACATTTTTCGTGGAAAATGAAGCTGAATCATCAGAACAGGTAAAAAGTTGGGGAAATATTTGAGGTATGCAACTAAAATGTTTAAAATTCACAGTAAAGATTTCAGAGACCAATCAGGGAGTGCAGGATATTGCTAAGTGGCAAGATGCATTGCAATTCTTATGAAATAGCTAATGGATTGGTAGTTTTATAGTTTGGACAGAAGCAACATTGCTAGTCCTACTTCTGCATCCATAGATGCTTTGGAAAGAAAAATAAAATTGCACATGCCTAACCCTTTTGTGTTCCTTTTCTATGGCCTTTGATTAATAACGTCCTACAGAATTAACACTTGCCATCAGTTGTTTTCTCTCATTTGTTAATAGTGACCTTCATTTCTTTTTATTATTACAAAAGTGAACTCAAATTGTATTGAGTAGAAAATTCAGACAGTACAGAAATCTCTAAAGGAAAATGAATGTTTCTCAGCCTCCCTTCTTTACTGCACCTCTCTTCTGAGATGCCCATTTGTTATCCTGCCCTTGCTGGCTCTGTAATTTGTGTAGTAAAAGCAGGACAGGACAGGCAGGAAACAGAACATAGACAGGGTAGAAGATGAGGGTCTAGCCATGACAGGACCTTTAGGTCTGATGCCTAAATGCTTGTGTGCAGAGAACTATGTCTCACACACTCTTTGATAACCAGGGCCATTTTATACACTTGAAGATGAAAATAGAAACATTAGAAAAATTATTAATCCATTTAAAAATAATGATAACAGAGCCATTATGTTACTACAAATAATATACGTTTTATGAAAATGGTATCTTTCTCACATAGAATAGAAAATAAATGAGATTGTTTCACATTTTTGCAATGTTATGAAAGTCTGGCTAACAGGAAGTAGAGGGATTATGTATCTATTTCCTATGTTCCATTTGTATCACAGTGATGATGTCCCCATACCTTCCTTTTGCATCAGGATAAAGATATCATCACACTTTATAGGCTGTTATTGTTGTGTACCCTCGAGTTGAAACTACCCAAAGCTGGATTTTCAGAGGCAGTAAATGGCATGGGGGATGCTGCTCCTTCCCCTGAAGAGCATCTGGTAGTTGTCACCTCTGTTAGTTGTAATGTTGGTAGTACAATTTCTTTCCACTAAGCCATCAGAGATTCCTAAATGGGTTTTGTGTGTGTGTGTACATTTTATTGCTTTTTTTTTTAAAATAATGATTAAAAAATAATGTTGCAAGCTTCATTTCCCGTGGTGAATATTTCCCCCCTGGCTATGATTTAAATCTTTTGCATTTTCACTAGTCCTGTGTATAGCTGACTTAGGTTTTTAGAAAAAAAGAGTTAAATAAAAAAAATTTAAAAAACCCAAAACACCACAGAGCTCAATAGGAAATGTTCTACAACATAAAGTGTAGCCTCTGGGAAACTCTGCTCTTATCTCCAGAGAGGGCAAAAGTAAAAATGGCAAATAACGTCTCATGAAAATAATTTTGAACTCATTGGCTACTACTCAACCACTCTCTGAGCACCACTGCAATAGCACATTTTACGTTGAGCTGTTTTTTATTTAATTCTGTTTTCTCTAAAAGCCCAAGTCAGCTATACACAGGGCTGGTGAAAATTCAAAATATTTAAGTTGTGGTCAGTAGAAGAAGAAAAAAAATCACTGTGGAACATGAAACTTGTAGCAGTTTTTTTAAGTAGTTATAATTTTAAATTATTGTGATAAAATATACATAGCAAAAGATTTGTTATTTTAAGTATTTTTGAATCTACAATTGAGTGACAATAATTATATTCATCAACGTGTGCTACCACCCCTACTATACATTTCTTAAAGATTTTTATCACTCCAAACAAAAACTCATTGTCAGCTAATGGCATATATGCTTCTTCCTCTGGGTCCTGATAATCACTAATAAACTTCTGCCTCTGTGCATTTGCCTATTCTATTTACTATAGATGGCATCATATAGTATTTATTCCTTTGTGTCTGACTTACCTGACTCACCGTGTTTCAAGGTTCACTGTGTTATGACATGAATTGGAACTTCATTAGTCTTTATGGCTGAATAATATTCCCCTTTATGCACATACCTCATTTTGTTTATCCATTCTTCTATTGAAGTACACTTGGAAAAGAATTTATGTTCAGAATCCTGTACCTCTACATATAGACCCATATACCTAATTTCTAAAATATAGAGAATTTGGGTAAATAGATGAAATTACTTATTCAGATACTTTTTAAACTTTCAATTTTAAGATTGCCTTTGATTTTGAGACACATTGAGAATCTATCTCATCATTTCCTTGGTGATGAAATACTTACCACTGTGGGTGACTGGATATTGTTACTGGGGTGGGAGACTTCTGTGAACACTGATGTTCAGAAATGAGTGAGCCTTCCCATGTCTCACCAGATTAAAATATCCGACAGCTCTGACCTGCTGATGATCATTGCTCCCTGTGTGGGATTTGTGGTGTTAATGTTGCTCGTGGGGTTTATCTATCGAGGTAAGGAGGGCAGTATTGGGGGCCATGGAACCCTTCAGAGCCATAGTGACTTCTAGCAGATCTGGAAGTGGGTTTTTTCTGCTTCCTGGGGCTTCTATTCTCCCTAACGGGTCTCATTTCTGTCATTGTCTCCAACCCAGACCAGGGTAGAATTCATTCTCCCTAATGTATTAATGGCTTAGAGAAGAATTTCTTCATTTTGGCTGTCCATAGGGAGCTGTTCTGCTTAACCAAGGGGACCTCTCTGGCAAAAGATAGACAATGTTCTCCCATGTGATTAACTATCTTAAAAACACATCAGTCAGCTGTGAGTCAGTTCTCACTCCACAACAGTGAGAGTTATTTCACTTGGGAGGCAATTAAAGATTTCTCACCGTGCATATGCCAGACTCAAGTTGGTTCTCAGCCAATGGACCGCATGTACAGCCACCATTGGTCTATCAGTGGAGGCTTATGTTTTGCTGTGATGCTAAAGAGAATAGCATCTAGATCAGGATAGAGAGAGAAGAATCTACTTGAAAAAATTAATCAATCAAAACTCTGTGGATCACAATGATCTACAACCACTACCGGGGCAGGTGCAGAACAGGCAGTGTGCTCTTTGCTAGTACATAGTGTTGCTATGGATTGGATATTGGCTCTGTGCAACTCACAATGAATCCATGTCCTTTTCATACAAAGGCTTAGGTTATAGTTTGGGAAAGTTATACGTCCTAAAAAGAAATGTTATAAAACTCAAGTAGACATTCTAATTCTAGGTGAACAGATAAGTTAATGTAGCTTAAGACCATTGCCCACAAAGTAAGAAAAACCATGCAATTGATGAGTACTGCTTGGATGACAACAGTGGTTAGTTGCTGGTGAATCCACTCTGACTCACATTAAGCCCATTAATAAGGTCTTCAAGGATTGTGATCCTTCACAGCAAATCACCAGGCCTGTTTTCCAAGATGCCTCTGGGTAGATTTGAACCTCTGATCTATTAACTAGTAGTTAAGTGGTTGACTGAGCCATGCTTGGTTTTCTTTGGGACTCTGAAATTATTTGGCAGAAGCATCCTAGCACCTGAGAGAAGGAATGGTTTCCTTCGGCAAAAGTCAGTCCTCAACTTCTCGACTTTGCAGATGCTTTATTCTCTTTGAGGCAGTTTCTAACTTCACTTGGCATTCCAATTCTATTCTAGCTACTCTGCTCATATTGCTGCTTTGTCTTTTCAGGAAAGTTCAGGAAAAGCTACTGTTTGCAGAAACACACAAGGTAATTCATCTTGCATGAGTGATTGCTGTAATGATTGTACAGGCTGCTACTAATGATTAGATACTACTCAGTGATTTAATGACTTCTGCTTGTGTTCTGATTAAACACAAGGTCAGAGACATATGTCATTAGAGGGGAAAAAGATGGAGAGACTTAGCTCTACTAACTTCTGTCTCTCTTCCCACGGCATTATGTTTGACCATAATGTGCATACAAAGGTATGTTGCAGTAATAGAAATATGACCTAAAAGAAAAAATAAGCAAAAAAGAAAGGTGATACATCACACTACATTGTGCTTCAAATTCTGTTTGATACTGTATAAGAGGAGAGATGGCAACAGAGAATGAAACAACTCCTAAGGCATCATTTCTGTGATTTGTTCCCTCTGCCCATTTCGACCTTTGGAGAAGGCTTTTTGTACTTGGTTTTGTTTTTAAAACAGTGTTTCAAGAGTCTCTCAAAAAGGATTTTGATAATCTGCTTTATTCAATAGACATTTTGAAAAGAAACAGATTATGCAAAATGTTGATGAAGGGTCTTCCTTCACTTCATAGTTATAATAATATTTCCTGTTCTTTAATAAATAGTAACAAAGAGGGAACCTGAAGCCCTGTTATGAGACTTTTCAAGGTCATACTTAAAAATTATTATATGAAAACCAATCAAAAATATTTTAGAAAAAATAAAACGATAACAGTTTTAATAAATAAAGTATATAACTCGTTTTTTATGGAGACATAAATTCATGGATGGAAAATAAACTTGCTCTATCTAAACGGAAAAAAAACCCTTTTGATAAATAGGCACATTTAAATAGTTATAATGGCTACTTTGGAAACTTTTCCTTCTCTTATTGCTAGCTAAAACTGAGGAGGACCTGAAGCATTTGCAGAGCTAAACATTAAGAAGACAAAGATGCTTACCATTAGGCCAATTGGTAGCATCACGGATGGATAAGAGACAGGTTAACAACTTCGGTTTCCTTGGCTCCACAATCAACACTCTAGGCATCAGCAGTTAGGAAATCAAAGGACTAATTGCTTTGAGGAAGTCTACTGTCAGGAACCTCTCCAAAATGCTAAAGAGCAATGATGTCGGTCTAGAGACTAAGGAGTACCTGCTTCAGGGTATGGTCTTCACAGTTACTTGCTATGCAATCAGAGAGCTGGATAATGACTAAGGATGACAGAAGCAGCAGCAATGCCTTTAAGTTGTGCTAGAGAGGAATATTGAACATACCATGGACTGCCAAGAGAAAAAAAAATGTCTTTCTTGGAGAGGGTGAAACCAAGCTTCTATTTGGAGGCAAGGACTGTGAAGCTCCATCTCACATACATTTGGCAAATGGCCAGTAGGGACCAGTCCTTTGAGGAAAACATCACGCTTGGAAGGGTGGAGGGACAGTGTAGGAGAAGACACAGAGGAGATGGATTAACGCAGTAACTGGGGAAATGGGGTTAGGTGCACCAGCATCAGTGAGACTGGCTTAGGATAAGGTAGGGTTCAGAACTGTTGTGCATAGGATCACTGAGTTGTGGGCAACTCAATGACATATAACAAGAAGAAGATGATACTAAATTAACAAAAATCTTCATCTCCCAGGACCTCAGTTAGTTTGGACTAGACTACAAACCTCTTTAGCACCTGCAGCATTTGACTGGTTGCTTTTCAATGCAACCGTAATATTAACTCCTTGTGTTGGTGTTTTCCACTACTATCAGTTTCTCTTTTCTCTTTTCAGGCTGACCACTGTTGGAGAAAATAAAAATGTGCTCAATAATGTGCAACTTGGAAGAGAAGATGAAGACGGCATGTTCACACTCTAACATGTGACTTTTCCTTAGGGTCGAAATTCTAAGTCTTCAACAAGCAAGACATGACTGTGGGCTTGCATGCGGCACTCAGTTTGAGATTTGAATTCTGGGGGGTGGGGGTAGGATTTTTTGGGGAAAAAAACCAAACCCAAACCAGGATTTTACATGATGAATTAGTTACATATTTCTTATCCAGAGACTCTTTGATCTAGGAAGTAGTTGATGTAACTGTTCCTTTCTTTCCCTCTTTGGGCGATGAGGATGAGTTGGTGCTCATGCATCAGCAACTGTGTAGCTTTGTGAGCAGCTCAGGAGAAAGAATGGACCAAATATAAATAAGGCAAAAGAGTATTTTTTCTTCCATTTGTTCAAGGAAGGACTTCCACGTGTTTTGAGGTGGGCTCATGATCAACATTTATGTCTTTACAGCAACTAAATCCTGCAATCTTGGCCTTTCACAGCTAAATAAAATATGTGACAACCAATCTGTAATGAGCACTTCTTAAATGTTGTGACCCACTGCTGTTTCAAGATGAGTAACTGATTGACCTCCCCAACAGCAGTTTAGAAAAGCAGGTTTCTGGGTTTGGAACTGAGAAAAGCAGAAGCCCAGCCAGCAGAAGGAACTAGCCAAAGGTCATATAGTTAACCCCCATTCAGCAGAACGAAGTCGATCAGGCCTGAAAGATCACACACCCTTAACTACTCTCCTGTACTTCACAGGGAAGATATGAATTTAAGATTTCACAGCTTTGGCAAGGCAATGTTTGTCTGCCTTGGACCCATGTGGATTTCAGTTTGCACAGATCCAGGGCAACCTTAGTGGAGTGTATTGATGGTTCTCTAATCCCATCCATTTTATGGTTCAATCTTCTTGTGTCCCCATATTATTTACTCAGAATCCGATTTGCATTTACAGAGGAAGATGCAAGCGGAGAACCTGGCAGGAACCTTAATGAAGCCAGGTGGGACACATTTAAATGGGAATGTGTTGAACTAACTCAGGAGAAGCTTCAGCCAGCTGTCAGCAAGCTTAATGAAAGGTTAACAGGAATCCTGCAATAGGTGGCTGGGGGAGCTCTCTGTCTCTCTAAAGAACACACAAAGTTGAGAAGTGGGCTCTCTGGACGGAGGCAAGAGCAGAAGGAGGAAGTCACTTGAAACCAAAAAGACTAGGTATGGAAACAGTTTCATTTAGATTTGTAAACATATTACAATCGTTAGAAGAAAAAAAAAAGACACTTCGAGTTCTCTGCTCTCTGAGCATCAGGGGACAGTGAAAGGAAGTGTTCGGAATATGATGAATGCTAATGTTGTTAGGAAGGAACTCTGGGAGCACTGACGACGGCTTCTCCCAAAGCCAGAGCTGGGCTTACTCTGTTGAGTTGGAAAAAGCACTACGCTGCAGTCGCATACGCCGTCTCTGTGTTGCATATGAAATAGAGGGTTGGGGAGGAGGACGCATCCCTTCTACATCTCTTCTGTCAACTCCTGTTTTTCAGCTGATGGAATGGAAACTTAGTTGAGGCAGATGAGCTGTCCCACGTCACACGATAAACCTAGACTAGAGCAGAGATCTTCTATACCTGGTTCTATATTCTGGACTCTTAAAGAGAGACAAACAGTGGATCTGAACCCTGTCCTATCCCGTGCCATCCTCCTAACACACTTGAGCTCATTGTTACAATGACTGTCAATCCATCTCCTTGAGAGTCTGCCCCTCATTCACTGACCCTCCACCTTTCCAAGTTTGATGTCCTTTTCCACAGACTGGTTCCTTCTAACATGCCCAAAATGTGAGTGAAGCATTCCAGTCCTCACCCATGAGGAGCATCTAGTCCCTTCCCCCTGGTATCTTATAGGCTACAAAATTATTTCATCTAAAGCAACTGTGGGATGTTAAGAACTTGTGTCTCAGGCCCCACTCCAAGTGAATTGAGCCAGAATCTGCATTTTAACACGATTCCCAGATGATTCACATTCACAATGGTGTTTGAAAAAAATCCTGGGCTAAAGGAAAGGCTCCAAAAGTTGGCTGCACATTGAAACGAGATAAATAAAAATACCAAAAGTACAAAAATACCAATGCTGGGGTTCTGATTGAATTGAACTAAGGGAGGCCTGGGGATCAGGAGTTTTAAAAGCATATCAGGTGGGTCTAATGTGCAACCAAATTTGAACACTCTTCTAGAGGAGGGGTAGCTCTGCACTGGAAAGCAATTTTGTTAATTAACCAAGATAAAGTTTGGCTTAAGTAACAAGCTTATGTGGGTCTAGTACCCTCTCATGATTTTACTCAGAGAAATGATCGATAAAATTGCTCCAAGAAGATCCGAGGAGACAAGCTAATGACCAAAATGTCCCAATTACTATGGAAGAGACTCATTAAAGTAATTTAAAACCAAGATATAATATTTGGTCTGGGGAAAATTATAATGAGAAAATAGAAGAGATAAACAGAGATAGGAAGTCCACCGGTCAAGGCAGTGCTATGAATCTGTTTAGAAGATATTAGAGGCATAAATGAAGTGATGGCACCAAGATTATCAGGAGAAGCTTTGTGGAATAGTCAAACACAAAACTTTATTCCAGAAAAAAGGACCTGCTCCTTGTACCTAAATATAACAGAAGACCCTTTTCCAGTTAACTGATAGAATGAAGTAGTGTGATTGGCTTCAGCTGCTAGTAGGAGACTACTAAAAATTGTGACTAATTTACACTAATTGTTAGCCAGCCCCCTGGGCTGTACACATTGACTCTCAAAATCAAAGCTGGCATGGGAGACATTTGTAATAGCTGTTGGGTACACAAGTTAGGATTCTGTTCCCTTCTTCATCCAGTAAAATCTTACTGGGTTTCTTCCACATGCTGAGGGGCCATGGTTGATGTTAGGGCAGCAATGAACAAGAAGAACAGCCCCTGTTTCCAGGTGGCTTATTGTCTGCAAACTATGGGGGGCATTTCTACTCGGTATTATAGTGTATCAGTATGCAAAGTCTCAAAGATAGGTTTGCTTTTCAATTAAGAGTCAAAAAAGAAAGAAAAGATAAAAAGATAAGACTTTAGCTATTCTGTATCCACATTTTCAAGTTGTGAAATTGTGCCTGTGGTTCAAGTGTCACAGGTTGATGGAGAATTGGGGCTAAACCATTTAGACCTGAAAGATGAAGGGCAAATATAACAAGGATTATTACCCACAGAGAAAATTCCTAAGCTTGGCAGAAATTGGCTGGGTTCTTTAGAGTCAATGTTAGAATAATAGCAGTAATTTCACCTTATGTGTGAAGCAACTGCATTCTGGAGGGTGCCATGCTCTTATTTTAGTGGAAAGTCAGGTGTAAACTGTTTGATTGTTTTTTATTTTGTTCACAATCATGTGTGAGGTGATTGGTTTTAACTGTAAGTTGTGGGCTGGAAGCTTCTTGTTTAAATCAGTCAGGACCTGGTGTTAATTGCATTTGGGAAGAACATTTTCCTAAAAGGTACAACACTGGTCTGTCAGTTTGCTCTACTGAGGTAACTTGGTGTTGCTCTGATTGTTGTTCTTGGTGTTGCTGAACACTATACCACTGGCGTGTCAAATGCCATAACGGTTACCTATCGTGGACAGGGTTTGTTTAAGCTCCCAGATTAAGACAGGCTTGGAAGCAGGGTTGGCATCCACTTCCTAAACAACATCATGCCTTTGGAAACTCTATGAACATTAGAGAAACAATGGTAGTTATGGAACAGGGGTTAGATCTTTTGTTCATATGGTCGCTATGGCTCTAAACAACAACAAGAAGAAGCATGTTCAAGGAAGCTCTGGCAGCGTATTTAGAAGCAAGTTGTGATACAAATACAAATGTAGTAATATTTGGCAATTCGAATCCACCAGCTGTCCTTGGAAGAAAGCTAGGCAGGCTCCTTCCATTTTGATTTACAGCTCAGAAATCCAGTTGAAGGTTGCTATGAGCCTAAACTTACTCCATGTCTGTGGGTTTACATTTTGACGCATTTTAAAACATAAAGTGTTCTTTTTTCAAGAGAAGAACACTTTTCCATTTTATAGGAAAAAAACCCCACAACCCACAAAATCTCTAAGAGGTAAAGTGATAGTCTGATTTCCCATAGTGATGAAGGAACCAGTGTTCTGATTTGTTTTCATTCCAGGATCAACCTCACTTTTATGGGATGTCAGAAAAGACTCTAAATATTGTACTAGAGTGGTGAAAAGCCAAAGCAGAGGGAAGAATTAAAGATACTAAAGAGCTAAACAGAAGATTTCAAAAGGGCAGCACGGGAACTCTAAGAATTACAAAGAAATATGCAGGGAGCTGGAGTAAAAACTCACAATGGCTGAATTTGCTCAGCATATGTTAACCTCGAGGTACTGAAGAACAATTTCAAACCATGAGTTGCAATATGTACGGATGCTTTGGGCAGAATATTAAATGAAATCTTTAAAGAAGATGGAAATAGTACACAGAGTCATTGTTTTGAAAGGAATTGACAGGCACAGAAGAATTTCATGAAACTTAAGAACAATAGCCTATGGTGATGAAGGAAGAAGTTCAAGCTCCTTTGAAAGAAATGGCAAATAATAAGGCCCCAGAAATTGATGGTATACCAATTTACGTATTTCAACTAATAGATGTTGCCCTTGATGTGCTTACCAAGTTGTGTCAAGAAATCTGGAGAACAACCACTTGGCCAACTGACTGGAAGAGATCTATATTTGTTCCCATGGCAAAGAGAGGTGATCCAAAAGAGTGAGGAAATTATTGAACAATATCATTAATATCACATGCAAGCAAGGTTTTGCTGAAGATTATCCAAAACTGACTGGAATAGCACATCAACAGAGAACTGCCAGAAGTCCAGACTGGGTTTCAAAGGGGACATGTTCCTATGGATATTGTAGTTAATGTTAGATGGATCTTGGCTGAAAGCAGGGAATACTAGAGGAATGTCTTTCTGTGTTTCATTGATTATGGAAAAGAGTTTGATTGTGTGGATCATAACTAACTGTG